TAGCACCTCTTGTATTACATTGTTTTTTTAATCCAGCTAATCCTTCCGCCCTCTGTGTGGCTAGCCCTGCAGGGGAGGGAGGGGAAAGGGGAGGCTCCCCGTCCAGGGGGAAGTAGGAGGGATTTTGAAAGAAGCAGAGAACAATGAACGCTTTAAAAACCAGAGCTTCCATTTAATCCGAGAATCCCGAAGTCAGTTATTCCTGCATGCTGGCCACACCTCAGGACAGACCTGTTCTTTCTGGGTTCCACAGCTATTGAGCAAGCACAGATAATTCTGAAATCTTTGGTTAAAAAAAAAAAAAAAAAGAAACACTCCTCTAAGTCAATTAAACATGCATGTAGTATATACAGTCAAGGCAGCGTGCTGGACAGTCTATCGTTTTTTCCTTAGTAAAAAGTGCCATCCCCCCGTGCAGCCTCCCCTCCCACCCTGACTGAGGAAGGGCCCGAGTTGTGCATCCTAAGCTGCACACTGTCACCAGGAGGCAACACACACACACACGCACGCATATTCTTCCCCTCTCTCGGCATTCTGGGTGCTGTTCTCCCATCGCCAGTGACTCGTGGAGCATCCCTGCAGCGAACAATGAACGTCTTGCCCTCTTTTCTCTTTCTCTAACGCAGCCTGCAGCTCTCCGCGGTGCCTGTTTTGACTGAGGAATCAGGACGTGCCCCCTCCCCAGACCCGTGGGCTCTCTCTAGTGGTCTGGGCAGGAAGGGGGCCCCCAACCCTGACTGCTCCCTCTCTTCCAGGGGCTCTTGAATTTCCCGCTTTAGCAAGCGCAAGCGCCCAACCCACCCACCCACCCACTGAGCTCAAACTCCAGCATGTCCTGGAAGCCCATCGACGTCTACTGACAAAGCCCCGTTTCCCATCTGTCTCCGCACGGCCCGGTTCTCTCAGGTTCCTCCGGGCTCTCCCTTTCCAGCCCGCACATCTCAGGAGCTAACATGAGCCCCCGAAGCAATGCAGAGCCTCGGCATTTAAACAGCTAGAGCCACAGCTAGAGCCACGCCTCGGGTCCTCTAAAGGAGATTTCCCCTAACAGTCCTACCCACCCGGGGCTCAACGAGGGGGTCACTTAATTCCAGGAAGGGACCAAAATCACTGTCGGGCCCTTGAGGTCAAGAGGATCCCTGCGCCCTGGTTCTGACTCTTCCCCACTCGGACTTGGGCTTCCCGGCTCCTCCAGGGCCGGCTGGGCCCAGGGTCGATGCTCTGGTCCCGGCTAATGATTTTCGAACTTTTTGGACCACACAAACCACAGTAAGAAATAAGTTTAATAAACTTTTTTCGTCACCACTCAGCACAGCTATTTAGATGTAGGTATAGGCATGTGCGGGGATAGAGGAACACATAGCTGAGAACAGCACTGACCCCCCCTTGTGTAAGTGACACCCTGAGGTTTTCGTTCTTGATGCACTGTTTCCCAATGCCGGCTGCAAACCACCAAATTGATTTCACAACCCACTAATGGTTTGCAACCCACAGTATGAAAAACGCTGCCGTTCGAGACAGGCGATGTGTTTTATTCGGCCTTGCACGGCAGCCTTTTATTCCCAAGGGATACTGAAGAAAGTTCCAAATCAGAACTGGTCTAAGAGGCCCCTCTCCGCCCTCCATGGCCGCCTGCAAAGGCTGCCGGGAGTCCGGCTGCTCTGCCGTGCGGGCGGGTTTGCTCCCGGCACAGCCTCTGGGCACACCGGGTCCAGCCGCATCCCTACCCATAGCCGTCTTCGCTGAATCTCTTTCCTGCCGCTCCCCACCCACCTCTCCTCTCTCCCTGTCATTCACGAGATTGGGGGTGGAGGGGGTGAATGGTAGCTTGAGCCCCGGGTGGCCCGAGGCAGCCCTGTGGGAACAGAAGGGGCAGGGACAAGCCGGCACGTGAGGGAGGAAGGAAGGTCACGTCCTGCTCCCGGGTGGGGGCTGGTGCTGCCCTCGCTCCATGTTGGTCTGTGACATTCACACAACTTGGATGGTATTTGTCGTGTCCCTGACACAATTTCTAGCCCCACCTGCTGCCCCGCTGAGCTGTAGCCAGGTTATCTGGGCCGCTCGGCCTGTCTGGAAGCTGGGGTTGGTGCCACCAACGCTCGGCACAGTGACAGGGATGCCCGCTCAGGCAGCTCTGGGTCTGTGTTGTATTCCCTGTGGCTGGATTCAGAGAGTTTCCCCTTTTCCCTCAGGAATACCAGGGCCACCTCTCAACTCTCTTCTTTCCTCTCGTAGTTTCTCCCCACTCATTTCATCTCAGCCCAGGCGTTTTCGGTGCAAACTCGACGTTGGCGTTGAGAATGCGGCTGTCCAGTTGAACCTTACGATTGATTCCCCTAGACCTGCTCCTGTGGGGGGTGGTAGGAGAATCTTAAACCCACAAGCCAGCAGCAAACACAGTCTTCAAGCCCTTTGTTCAAAGCTGAGGCTTCAGAGAAGCATAAAACACAATCCATGCCCTCAAGGAATTTACAGTGTCTTTGGAGAGAAAGACACCTATAAATATAGGCAACCACAGGAGGCAGCCAGAGGAAGCTAATCCGTTTGTAAGGTCCCTAAAGAATACTAGGGAGGAGAGTCCTTGGGGGGCAGACGGGCTCCCCCGTGCAGGGGGGTTCAGGCGGAGTCAGTGGAGTTCCGTTCTGTCAATGGGTGTTGGGGGGCAGCAGGGTGCTCCGAGACAATGGAGGGGACTTTAGGACGAGATCTGGAAGGAGCGTGCAGAGAGGCCGACACAGAGCAAGGGAGGGAGGCGGGGGCCGCAGGTGGGCTGGTTCTCCAAACCGAGTTAGAGAGTTTGGACTTTAATCTGTGGGCAGTGGGAAGCCGCGGCCGTGCCCAAGGTTTTGAGAGCCGCAGGGGAGCAGGTGCCCAGCCGCTGCCTGCAGAGGAGAGTGGATTGTCAGCAGTGTAGGAAGGGCGGGAAGGGTTTAGGCTGCAGACGCCCGGGCCCCACCGGGCTCTGGACCGATGTGAAGACTGCGGCCCTGCAAGTGTGGAGACGGCGCTTCCAGGGGGCCGGGGGAAGGGCTCAGCGTGATGTGTTGACCACGCGCATGGGGCCACCTGTGAAACCCAGGCCTCCGGTTTGGGAGGACAGGGCACCACGACGCAGTGGGGGGTCAGCCACCGATGGACAGCACAGTCGAAAGAGCTGCCGTGCAGGGGTCCCGGCGGTGGGGTTCCATAGAAACGCTCCATCCTGGAGGTCACTGCACAGAAATGCTACCCACCCGAGGGGTGGGTCAGCTCGTCGGCCCCCTCTTCTTCTCTTCAGGCATCAGAGAAGGTGCCCCTTTGACCTGGTGTCGTTCTGACCTGACCATCGCTGGTATTTCTCTCTGTTGACAGACTCAGGACCAACCTCCCACCTGCCGGGCCACCCGGGCAGACGTGGGGCCACACGCTGGCACCGAGAGGCCTGGCAGCTCTCGGAGGACAAGGGGCTGCGCTGCCTGCAGCCCCACGGGGCGCTGAACCCACTCGTCCTTGGGAAGCAGTAGTGGCGCTTCCCTTTCGCTCGGCACGGTGGTGCTGGGTCCACTTCCTCGAGGCTCGGGCCTCCCTTCTCGACCGGTAGGGTTCCGAGAGCGAGGCCGGTCCTGTTCCCCCACGGTCTGATCATCTGCCTACTTTCTGTTCTGCGCCACGCACAAAACCAAGTCTACTTTTGCTCAGAGACCGAGGCGCTTCTCTTGGTTCCCACGCCTGGCCACTTCCCCTGAGGTGCCGTCGCTGTTCAGCCTCCATGAGTCAGGGAGGTCCTTGCTGTCCTCTCCTCTTTGATAAGGCCAGCGCACCCCAAGGCCCCTCCGCCTCCACCTCCGCGGTAGCATCAACGGTCAGCACTTAGGACTCCCCTCCCCCCACTCGGCCCCTCACACCACCCGAGTCCGGGAGGGGGCTTGGTGGCGGCAGTGGCGGTGGGAGCTACAGCTAGGGGCTTTCCCGCAGGCCAGGGTGTGTTCGTTGGAGGGCAAAGTATGCTGTAGTGAGCCCGCCTGCGTCCTTCTCTCTGTACTTTGGCCTTGACAGCAGCCCTCAGGCTGCCATAGATGAGCTGGCCCCTGGTGGCACTGGGTCTCCAGTCCCCTATACCCAGGACCTCGCAGCTAAAACCCTCCTTTGCTGCACCAAGGCAAGGGCTGTGGCCCAAGCTGCAGACGCCACTGTGGGCCAAGCCCGACCAGCCACAGGGATCAACCACCCCAGGCTACACTGGGGTTGCATGCACCCCGGACCCAGCCTCAGAGAGGCGGGGCGGGGAAATGAGAGTCACGCGTCGTCCCGGGCCAAGGTCACCTCAAACCTAAAATGAGGTCTTTGGACTCTATGGGCTGTGAGTGACCCTCTAGCACTAGCAAGCTGTCCCTTCTTCACCCCAACTCAACCTGCCCTGCTTCCTCAATGTCGCAGGAAAAGGACGCAGGTAGAAGCCCACACGACAGGGGCCAGCTCCGTGTCCTGGTGACCTCATCGTAGCCTCATTAACGTCTACCAGAATGGAAACCAGGCGGTGGCACCAGAAGGACTCTCATTTCGAGAGCACTTTTCAGTCCCTAAGCATGGGTTAAATGCTCCTGGTGGGGACGCGCCACCAGCCCAGGTGCAAGATGAGCACGTGGCGGCCCCCGCCTCTGTGCGCGCACAGCCCTGTGGGAGAGACAGGCAAACAAGCAACGGTCTAGATGAGGCCACTTTCCTGGTGGACTGCAGCCTGGCCAAGCCCCCGCCCCTGTCCACATTAGCATGGGAGGAAGGATTTTTGAAGCCAGCAGCGGGGAGAGGAAGGGAATGACATTTCGCCCCAGTTCAGCTTGATAGCATCCACGCCCTTTTTGCTTTTGCTTTATGCTTTTCGAGCTTTCTCTGTTTGGGGTGGGGGTTTTTTTTCTGCTTTTGTTTTTTTTTTTTAATGGTTTCAAGGTGATTGGAATCTTTTGACATTAAACAACTTTCATGAATGTGGCTGAGGCACACTTATGCTTCCTTCCTGGCACCCAGTTCAGGGCATTAGCAGCCTGGCCCTTTTCCTGCTGGGCGCTGGCACCTGGGATCCTGGCTCGGGACGAAGGGGTGGCCTTGCCTGTGTGACCCTTCCCTGGGAGTGCGATGGCGGGGCCCTCGGCGGGCTCTGGGGACACTGGGGGAGACCCAAAGGACAGTGGCAGAAACGTCCCCCCATCAGCGCCAGCCTGCACCCCAGGACTCCCAAGAGAGTATCCGTTTCTCCTGTTTTCTTCACCCCTCTCCTCTCCAGCCAGCTCTCCTCCCAACCAAATACCAAACTTGTCTGGGTGGGTGACATTCTTATGCCTTGTCAACTGCTTCCCCCACTCACCCTGACCCTCCTGGGGCCCGGGAGAGTCCCACCTTCCTCTCTTTCTAGGCACCCGCCCCAGTCCGTCTGGACAAAGGAGGCACAGAAATGTTGCAGTCTACAATGAGCATAGACGTGTCTCAGCCCCGGGGCAGTGTTGGGAGGCAAGGGTCCTTCCTACAGGTGGTTTGGAAGCTTCCCTTGAGCACCTGCCACTCTGAGCAGCCCAATGGCCTCTGACAGCCCCAGACAGACACCATGGTCAGGACTTCTGTCCCTCCCCTCCCAGGTGTCTCAGCCCTCTTCCCACCTGGCTCTCCAAACTTTGACACTATCTCCTCCTCCACCGTGCAGCCTGGAGGCTGACAGGTGGTTCCGCTCCCAAAATCTTACTCACACTCAGGTCCGCGCCAATCTCCTGTGCATTCCTAGGATACAGTGCCAGGCAAGCAGGCAGCATCCCTGTCCTCAGCAGTGGTCTAGAGGGATGGAACAGACATGAATGAAATAATCAACCAAATTCGTGTCTGATTCCGACAAGTGCTGGGAGGAAAATGCCCAGGGTGATCTGAGAACAGTGAGGGTCCAACTAGAGAAGGGGGCTCTAGAAAATTCTAGTTCTCTCTTTTCCCAGCTGAATTTGACTCTTCAAGAACTGTTACTGCTTGGTCGATGATGGTTTCTTCCCGGCTCTCTTCCAAAGCATGAAATAAAAAGCCCACCACCACCCCACCCTCCCCGCCAGGTAACTTTCAGGTTGAATCCAGCCAGAAGCAGCCTTTAGGATCTGAATGGTCACTGAGGCTCTCCACGGCCAAGGACCTCCTCAACAACCCACCTCCACCGCCCCCGGCTAAAGAGAAACGGGGCAACAACCCCGCAGGTGCAGGAAGGGTTGGTCCTGTGATTTTTATCCCCTTTCTGGCCCTTCTCTGGCCTCCCTTTCTATGGCTTGTTTTCGAAAAGGCCTGGATGACTTTGACTCTGATAGCAGAAATGGAAACTTGATTCACGTGTTACCTGTCCCTGGTCCCTTTGTCCCTGCTAGCCTGGGTTTTCCTCCCAGTAGGGAGGGAGGACGCTCAGAAATCCCCTCCAGAGAGTTCATTCCGCGTTAATGTCCAATCACAGCATGCATGGCCCCACCTAACCTGTAGGTTAACTCGCAAGAGGCAGGCGGGGCTTCCCCAGGGTGGCTCTGAGTGGGCATCTGCGCCCAGATGGCCCTCAGCCCAGCCGTCCTGCAGGCCACGCCGACCCCTTCGGCTCACGCTCAGGGTGCACGCGCCAAGCCAGCGTCTGGGCGCCGCGCTCCTTGCTGAACACCCTTTCTCCAGGGAGAGACCTTTAGGATATACCTCATTTGACCGGAAAATTCGACTTCTGGGAATTTGACACGGAAAGTCCCACTCTGGTTTGCCTTTCTCTGGCTGACTGAGATCCTCTGTGAGGACTGCGCCGCCCGCGGGCTCTTTGAAAGGTCACAGGGAAAGAGAACCATAGGTTCTCCGCCGCCGTGGGGCCTCGCCGCCGCCGCACGGTGCCGCAGTTGGGCGCCGACGCTGCGCAGCTCCCCAGACTGGGTCTTGCGGCCCCGACGATGTCCCTGCTGGTCCCCGCCCACGCGGCAGGTGTCTCCAAGATGGGCCCCCTTCGGCGGCATCAAACCCGATCGCATCGCGGGGGCGCTCCATCCTCGAGCGCACGCACAGCCGCTGCTCCCGAAGCGCGTCCCGCAGGCCTGTGGGGCTGGGCAGGGTTGCCCCCGCGCCACCGCGCTCTGTGCGCGGACCCCACGCTTCCCCCGACTCGCGTCCTCCTCCTCGCACCTGCCTTATAATGAGCTTGGGTCTCGAGTCTTTCCTCAAGGTGTTATTTTTGTGCCTTCATCTGCTCCACCTTTATTTATCCCAAAGATTTCTGGATGCCAGGAACCTAGGGGTCGGAGTCTTTCGCAGAAGCCCCTAACCCGTGTGCGAATAGGCCCACCTCCTCACGCCATTAGCTTTGCATTCAAGAGACTCGCCATTAGCTTTGCATTCAAGGGGCAAGTCGCAGAAGGTTCTAGGGTACTCTAAAGCCATGGGAAATGGTGAGTGCTTACTCTGTTCCTGCATAACTAAGAGGGATGGTCAAGTGGAATTTTTAGGACCCTTCCATGATCTTTTATTTCTGGGTATATTCTCCTAAAAAGTTAATTGTCTAAACCTGATCAAAACCAAAATTCTAAGATTTTGTAGAATTTTTTTTTTTTTTTTTTGGCATAGGCAACGGGGCCCTCCTATTTGGAACTGGGAAAGAGAATACTTTCCCATGGGCTATTCTGCTAGAAACAGGTTGTTAATGGAAACAGAAAAGCCCTCCACCCTCTCATTCATAAACAGTACTGATAGGTTCCATGTGGTACAGGAGTGTGAATCTGAAAAACTAACTCATTTCTACTCTGGGACCAGCATCATAGATTACATCACATTTGGCTTTCTCTCTCTTTTTTTAGTGTTCACGACATTTATTTAGGTTGGTTAGAAACTTAAATATGCCAGGGTACAGTGCCACATGTTGCCGTGTGGCAAACGCTCACCACCAGCGATCCCCAGGGAACACCCGAGGGCAGGATTTCTTCCCTGGCTGCCTAGCTGGTGATCGTTCCTTCCAATTAAACTCTTTGTGACTGGTTTCAAAGAACCAATGAGTTCCAGACCCCAACCAAAAAAAAAAAAGAAATACTCCCGGTCAAGGGGCGATGTCTTATCTTAACAAATTGTTATTATAAGTTTCTCTTTGCCATAAAAAATTCTCAGGTAAAATAAACCCCCGGTGGAAGACAAGAGTTTGTCCATCAGCCCCTGGGAAGGGAGGTCGAAATGGGGAGAGGAAAGGACGGGGAACGGGGAGATTAGAGGGTTCGGTTTTTATTACATGTAGTTTCGTGTTTGACATTTTCACAATGAGCAGCTATTTTCATGCTTTCATAATTCGGAACTTTTCTTAAATTTTAATAGATGCTATTGCTTTCTTGATTAAATCTAAGTATGGCTGTCTTGGCCTCATGCTGTACACAAGACCCAAGGGTTTCAGTAAAGTGGTGTAGAGGCGATTGGCGTACTGTTTATTGCCACAAGGAGAAGTGTTTTAGGAATAATATCAGGCTGCAGCTTGTATTGAGTTATGACTTCATTGGTAAGGACTACTTCGAAATGTGCTTAATGAGATCAATTCAGATCGCTGTATTGATGCGTGTAGGAAGCATGCACTTTAACATGCAAACAAAGCACACAGAAACTGTCTTTTAGCAGGTAAGAATTTCTAATGTAGGTAAATAAGAGTAATAGTCTGACTCATTCATGTTTGTTCATGATTTGAAACCACTTTTGACTGAGCTAGATGTAATACAGATTTCCCCACCCTAGAGAAGCAGGGGTAGTTAAGTTCTCTTTTGTGCAGATAACATTTTTGCATTGCCATAAATTGGAAATACCTTGATAGACAACTGGCTCTACTTCCAATTAGCTGGTTCAAATTCTGCCCCCATAACTTGACTAACAGCCCTGTACAACAAGTCAACACTTTTATTTACCGGGGGTGACATTTTGAAAATATGTATTTCTTGAAGGATACAGGAAACCACTTTGCTTAAAGTCAATTGAGCATTTTATAATGATTTTCAGAAATGTGTTTGTAGGGTAAGGGGACATCTGGTTACTTACACCTGTTTTCAGAATGATTCCAGCTAAAAGAAAAAGCACAGTCAACAAAATGAGATACCGTGTTTGGTTTGGAAGAATCAAATAAAAAATTTTAAATGTAGATTGAGATTTAGCCACACGTCACAGCTCCCAAAGTAAATCAAAGCTGCTTTCATGGTATGATTTTCTAAATTGTGTGAATTTGTGCACCCAAAAAAAAAAAAAACTGGCTTTTCGTAATTTTTGTGTTTTGTTTTCTAAATGATAAAAGAAAATGATTGTGCACATTTCACATTTCCACATATAGCACACTGCAGCAAAGGAAGGTTTTTATTCCCAACTCCCGGAATGCATGTTCATTTTCCTTTCGCATGCTGGTTTTTGAGATACCGAGACCTCTTGATGTAAGAGTACTCCAAAGTGTTGTTATTCAAACTAAGGATTTTGATAAGACGAGTGTAACTTAGAGATCAGGCCAGGATTATCCCACAGCAAATCCGTCGAATTATTTTCATGCCTGTGCCCTGCGTTAACTTGTAATTCAACATCAGGATTCCCTTTGCTTCCTATTTTTAACAAGTCCATTATGGGTCTGAAGCGAATAACAGAGGACTAAGGAAAAGAGCTGAAGCTGTTCGATGATGGTCACAAGGTACTGTGGCAGCCAGCAGCGATGGACTGAGAACTGAGCCCCTGAATGACTGGGTTCTCAACCATGCTCACAGAGTGTCCCCGAACCACCCCACAGATGTGACTAGCACATGCACAGACCATCCATGATTTTCTTTAAAGGGGAGTTGTTTTAAAAAAAAAATGCCTACTTAAGATTTTTTAAATTAGATATTTACCTCCACTAATTCCTCCACACGCCTCTTGGGGTTTATAACTCTACAGCTGAGAAATGTTTCCTAGAACACCCGATGAAAGGCACTCTGATGAGGACTTTGAAAAGTGTCAAAAGGTTTGCTTGGGGTTGCTTTTTGCTGGTTGGTTTGTTCGGGGGGAAGCCATCAGCCCTGCCTGCCTGTGTGTGCTTTCTCAACCCTATGGTCTTCCAGCCGTGGCTTTTCTTCCTGGAAGACCTCACTTCTACTCCAGCATATATACTGACTTATTTTAGCACCATGAATAACTGTACTCCTGGGATTTAGCAGGGACTATATATTTAATCAAGAAAAGTGTGGGAATGGTTCTGAAATACAGGTCATCCTGTTCATCTGGCACTCCAAAAGGACATTGTGCAAGCTTTTAAAACCCATTCTTCACTTTGATAAAAAACAACATGCTGCCCTTTAAAGTTATTAGAAATTTCAAACTAAATTCAACCCATAAGTCAGAAACAATTAAGGCAACAGCGTCTCACACCAGTTTGTTTTCAAACTCTACAATAGAAAGAAGGAAACAAAATGTTTGCTACTTGTAGACTATAATATGATTATGCACCAAGACAATATAAGAGCATCAATGGTAAAATTCTTAGTATTAATAAAAAATCAGAGAAATTCTCATATAAAAGATAAATATACTGAAATCTCCAAAATCAATAGCTTTCCTATTCCAACAATAGGAGAATATAGGGGGAGAATTGCATTAATAAGAGTATTGCAAAAAAAAGTTAAAAAGAACACTAATGAGAAATATCCAAGACCTATATTAAAAACGCAAACTTTTTACAGAGATTGATAAAAGAGAATAGTTAATAGAGAGACATAACCTTGGATTGAAATATTGAATACATTAATGCTGTTAATCCTTGCTGTTAATCCTTGTAATTTTTAGGTGAAATGAAATCTAAATTAAACCCCAGTGGAACCTTTTTTTTTTTCTTTGAACATGATGAAAGCTTATCTGGAAGGAAAAAAAAAGATAAGAAGAGCTAAGAGTTGCTTAAAGAATATCAAGTAGGTTCTTTCCCTATGAGATATCTAACTGTAATATTGTTGATACAGCGATTAAAATAGTGTGCAGCTGGTTCAAGATTCTGCAGGTCAATCAATGAAATAGAACCAGACAGTCCTGAAATCCATTACATGTGTTTTAAAAACTTAAATCTGAGAAAGGAATCACCAAGAAGAGATAGTTAATGGTTGGATTATCTAAAAATAAAATTGAAAAATGTGGCTATATGGGGGGGAAATAGTCAAGTTTGATCTCCCCTTATACCATACACTGGAATAAAACCCCAGTATATTAAATGTAAAAAATGAATCCAAAAATATCTAGAAGATGATATTGGCATATATATTAATATTGAAAGCCTGGATGAGCAAGAGCTTTCTGAATATGAAGTAAATGAAAGAGATCTTAACAGAAGAGTGAGTTATTTAAAAACATATCAACAACTTCCCACATAAAATACAAAGAGGAATGATAAATTGGTTAAAAATATTTGAAGGAAATGAACAAAGAGTTAACAGGCTTTATATAGCAAATGCTCTGAGATGTCGATGAAGAAAACAGTCATGCACAAGCAGAGAACCCAGGCATACAATTCTCAGAAGGAATACCAGTATGTCACTAAATTCATGAGAAATGTTTGAGATAATTTCATTAACCAGAAAAATGCAAACCAGCAAAATGAGATAATTTTTGCAGTTAATAATTATATATGTGCTAATTATATTCACTGCTGATCAGGGGAAGTGGGGTGGCCATGGAGGAGAAGAGGGCATGGGCCTCTGGTCTCCTTGTAGAGAACCTGCCCCCGGGAAGCAGAGTTGACTGACAGCTCCAGGTGCCCAACCCCAGGTGACCCCCAGCCAAAGCTTGGGCATGACCAGGGTCTTCACACCATCCCATTCTTGCCTGTCACAGAATTCCTCTTGCAACGGGCTTTGATCTGGGGACTCCCTATCCCCTTCCCAAATCTTGCCACCGCGGGATAATCTGATTAGGTCTGCCAAACTTAGTCTTCCCTGCTTGCTCTTAGTACACTGTTCTTTTCATTTGAACTGTATCACTAACAGCCACGCTGCTAATCACTATAACCCTT